TGCCATGCCCCTGCCCCTCCTCCGGCCTCCGCCCGCCCCTCCCACATCCCCGTCCTGGGGGGAGGGGTCCCGCACAGATCACTTATTCTCTCTGGGGGGTCTCATTACCCTGCGCCCAGGATCGCACCGCCCCCACCACCTGTGGCTCCCCCTGCCCCCCAGGCGCCCCCTGTGCACCTCTGAGGTTCACTTACCTTTGCCTGGAGCCTCTCCCCTTCCCTCCCAGTCTCAGCCGCTGCATCCCCACCCACTCCCTCACTCCCCACCCTCGCCATCTGCCGGCCTGGGACCTGGTGTGCCCGGGTCTGGGTAGAGGGCCCCAGGGAGGTTGCCCACCGAGACTCTCCCGGCCTGATCTCACCGCAGTGGGCTCACCCTGGGGCTGGCGGAGGGTGGGCGGTTCCTGCAAGGCTGTGGCTGGGGGTGGGTTGGGAGAGCAGAACACAGAGGGAGCAGGAACCAATGCGTGCGAGGGGGGCACTGGCGGTGGCAGTGGGGTCTGCCACTCTGTGGAGAGGAGGCGCCCGTGGTGGGAAGATTCAGGCAGAGCAGGTGCTTCGCCCTGGCCAGCCCGCCAGCCTGGGGCCCTCAGCCAGGGCAAGAGCCAGGAGCTGGCACTGCCCAGAGTTTGAGGCAGTTCTTGCCGCAGATCAGACTCTTCTGAAAACAGGTTCCCGGGCGGCCGGCCCCTTTGGGGAAGGACTGGGAGCCTCCCAGGCAGCAGGAGGTGGATAGCACCAGTGACAATGACCCCCCATCGGCTCCTGGTGAAGTAATGACCTAGATTCCCGGTGCCGTGTGCCGGAGCAGAAGGTAGTGCGGGAAACATCCTGCTGGGCGTGCAGACCCTGCCGAGCCCCCCACACCCGCCTCAGTGTCCCTCCCATGAGGAAGGGATCTCAGGCTGCCGTAGGACAGATGGAGTATGTGGGGGGAGGGCAAGAGGGCAGGAGCCACGGCTGCCCTCGGGGTGGGGGCAGGCTGTCATCAGCTCCCTCTACAAGTTGGAGCAGAGGTCGGAAACTCCTCCTGGAGGAGGCGGGCCTGGCTGGGGCCTCTCCTCTTAGCCTAGCTGTCCCCACATTTGCCCTCATTGGGGGGTGGGGGCAGCGCCTGTGAATCTGCTACCTCCCAGGTGAGGCGTGGGCTCTCCATGCCGCGTGGAGGATGCGGCTGACTTTGTCAG